TATATATATATATATATATTGTATAGTACCATCGGTAGAATAAATGTTGATTTACCTTCTTTCATATATTGTAAGTTGGTGTTTTACAGTGTTAACTAACTCATCACTAACTATTTGTTTTAGCTTTATAATAAACTTTTAAAATATGGAAGTAATGATTAATTTTTTTTTTTTTTGTGTCTGTTTTATATACATATTTTAATTGAACCACTCCTGTAACATGAAGCCCTAATTTATTAATTGTAGTACCAATAAATACTGTTACAAAAGTTGAACTTTGTTTACATCCATGGGTATTATTTAGATAATCCATACATCTATCACGTTATTTTCTTTTCATGGCAGCACTAGCAGATCCAGGATTTAATTTTGGGGGGAGCTTCAGCCCGGAAGTTTTTTTTCTCATATATATATATATATATAATATATATATATATAACGGTAATTACTTTGGAAAAACAGAAAGATACTAATTACCTATATGAAATGGTGTTTAAGTGATTCTTGAAGTCCTATTAAATGTGATTAAACGAGCAATAATACTTTAACACATATTTTTTAATATTTTTTACCATAAAACCTGGTTACATTTTACCATTTTGGGGGAGGCTTCAGACCGAAAGCCCCCTCCCCCTCCGTATATCCGCCTGTGCATGTCAGGATAATAATCCCAAGTAGAAGAGAGAAATATTGAGAAATCCTAATTAGTTTATATTTTTCTTTCGCTCAGTTAACATGGAGTGGGATGATGAAGAAAACCGTATAGATGGATCGTCTTACACAAAGTTGGAAAATGTAGTTCAGAGATTCTCAACACTTTGAAATCTTTGGGTATCAGCCAAATTTTCATGTACCGCACTATAAATAGATATAATGGGACCCTATCTGTATGTGACAGACCTAGACCCGGCCGTCCCCGCACTGTGAGAACTGCAAATGCAGTGAGAGCAGTGGCTGACTGAATCAGAAAAAATCCCATTCGGAATCAACATATCATGTCTCGGGAAGTGGCAATCTCTGCCTGATCAATGTCTCGCATAATAAAAAGTGACCTTAGGATGGGAGCATTTTGAAGAATGGCTGGACAACATTTAGCGATGAGAAAATTTTAAGAACTGAAGAAAATTTTTACAATTAAAGAAAAATTTAATCGCCAAAATGATCGTGTGTACGCACAAAGCTCTAATGAAGTCCCGGCAAGTCATTGAAAGAGTGGAAAGAAGTCATCACCCTTCCTCAGTGATCGTTTGGTGGGGAGTTTGCTTTGATGGCACCACAAAGCTCTAGATTTTTTGTGAAAAAGGAGTTAAAACAGCCGCTAAAAACTATTAGGACGATATTTCGGAACCTATTGTCAAGCCTCTAAATGATACTCTGTTTGCTGGAAGTCATAGAGTTTTCCAACAGGATTCCGCTCCAGTTCACAAGGCCGGATCAACCCAACAGTAGATGCAAAAGAACATTCCAGAGTTCACATCTGCGGGACAAAAGTCAATACATCCATAGTGATTATGTTTGTGGAAAATGATTTAAAACGTGACATTATAAGTCGGTGTAGTTAGGGAAATAAGAATTATTCAAACACCGAATAAAAACAATGAATTTGAGTAAATATAACAAACTATAAATTGAGAACTCAGAGCCAATATTTCATTAATTGTGAAATATAATGGTTTTATTGTTAGAGTGGATAAATAATACATTTTACACCTTTCAGTTGAGATAATTTTCTAAATATATGAGTTTGGCCAGTCAATATAATATTTTATTAAAATGTGTATATTGAATTCATAAAACATTGAGATCAATTTATAAATTTTATTTATTTATTTATTGTTACATTCCGTATCTACCCGATCGGGTCATTAGCGGCTTTAGATGTAATCAAATTATTTGTACAAATTTAATGTCTTTTATAAATTCAAACACTTTTTGTATCTTTTCTTCGTCATCTGAAAATGCTTCAGATATGTTGGAAGGTATGTTATGTTTTGTTCTGGTGTCAGAGTATAGTCTGCAAGTTGTTACAGTGTGTTTCAGTGTAAGTGATGTGTTACATGTTTTACAAAATGGTGGTTCCAGGCCTCTCATTAGGTAGCCATGGGTAAAGGCTGCATGTCCAATTCTAAGCCGAGTTAAAATTGTTTCTTCTTTCCTGTTCTTTCTGAAAGAGGTCGTCCACGGTTTGGTATCTTTTTTAATTTCTTGCAATTTATTCGTTGATTGGTTCCACTTGAATTGCCATTTTTCATTTAGGATTTTTTTGTATTCCAATCTACAGTCAGCAGTGGTCGTTAAATTGATCATTGTGGTTCCATTAGTTTTTCTTCTTGCCAGGCTAGCAGCTCTGCAGCTTCATTCCCCAGATATGCCACAATGTGAGGGTGCCGATGCGAGGACGATGTCTATGTCCGACGACTCCTTCATTTCCCAGAGGCAGTTTTTGATTTTCCTGGAAATGGCATTGTCGGTTTTCCCTTCGGCAATGTCCATTAATGAGCTTAAAGAGTCTATAACTATACGGCCATTTTTTATGTTAGTAATAACAAGGCCTGATATATGGCGAATAGTTCGCCTGTGAAGACGCTGTTTATTTGGGGAAAATTGAATTTGAGGCACTGGTCTTTCAGTATTACTGCACATCCTACGTCACTATCTGTTTTTGAAGCATCTGTATAAAGGGTTGTGTGTCCGAGGTATTTGTGTTTCATTTCTGTAAATAAGTGTTTTTTGACGAATTGGTCATCGTCAGTTTGTATTTTCCTAGATAGAGACGTATCTGTTTTTATTCCATTGGTAGAATAAAGCGTCGTCTATTGTCATTATATTGTCCAGTCTGAAGTCTAATTGTAAAAGTAGTTTGTGGATTCTCTCCGTAATGCCAGTTGAGTAGTACACTCGGTTGTTGTTGATGCTGGTAAACAAACTATGGTTAGGGTGGTCCGGTTTAGAAATTATAGATGAGGCGTAAACTAGAGTAAGATAGTCTCTTCTTAAAGCTAAGCTCGGTTCTCTACTTTCGACGTATAGGCTTTCAACGAGAGAGGATCTAAACGCCCCGGTGCATAATCTTATTGCAGTGTTATGGACATTGATAACATTTGATAACATTATACATTGTGTGTTTGCACCAGTTAATCCATTTACTCATAAACCTATGCTATGGTAGACTTAAGTTACAAACCTCTTACTTGACTGAGATAAATAATTGGCATTTACAAGGCACTAGTGAGTCTCATCACTAGACTAAGACACACTATAACTACAAATAAATCAGTACTCTCAATTCCTTTTCCCCCTCTTAAAATGAACTCTATGCAGTATGCAGGTCATATTTAATACTATGCAGTCATATTTTATACTATTAATACTATGCAATAAAAGAGGTCATATTTAATCATCGTCCAACTCCCTGTTCTCAACACAACATTCCATGATGTTAAGAAAAAAAAATCATTTATATAATATTTTTCTTTTCAGTTGCGAAACATGTTAACATGATACTAAACCAGTACGGGAAATTAATTTAACGTTAGTCAAGCACTCAAGTTAAAATAACTTACGTTGCCATCCGGTAGACAATTTGCAGCTTGCTAAACATTGATGCTGTCGCAGCCATTCATTCCCATTTAGCAGCGACATAAGAAAACACTGTTTCTTATCTCTTCATCAGGACCGCAAACTGACAAATGCAGGCAGGCCATGCGATAGGATCTTTCCCATCGAGCAGGAAGGAGGAATGCCAATAGCCAAAAAAAAAAAATAAAATAGTTCCTCATTCGGACAGAGAAAGTTCCTTCTCCGTCAATCCCAACGGATCTGTAATTCACTAATTTATTGCGGTAGCAAATTTAATTATCGATTCGAAAACAGAAACCAGATATCAATATTGGACTGGCGGGAGAAAGCGGGAGCTTGCGCGGTCGTGTACATGCTCTTTTAGGTTCCATTAATTCTGCGGTGGATATGGTAATTAATCATTAAAAGAGGTAGCTACAAGTAGGTACCTATACTTTTATTGCAAAACAGAACAGGCCCATTCCTCAATAATACTTGATTTTAATAGGACAGGTATAGAATCGCTCCCTTCAAGCTTTCATATCTAGATTGTACGATGTTTTTGAATTCTGTAAGTAATTAATAAAATTAACTTTTTACCTCGCTACTTAAGTATTCAACGGTACATTTACTTCAAATTATGCAATACATTTTCTACGTTCCTGCAATGTAAAGTCATTTTTCATTAGCGGTGGATTGACTCTGTGTCGGGAGACCCTCCTACGGCACACCCAGGATCTATATAGTGGGTACTCTTAATCAAATACTCAATTAACGCTGAAAACCTGGCGGTTGAGCGTGATTTTGGCCCAGTCACCTCCCTACACATCCGATGGTCCTAAAATAGTACTTCCTAACAAAGTACTGAATCCAAAACACTTAATGCATTGTAGCGGTACAGGTATACTTTTTATATAAATTGATAGAATACATAATTAAAAAATAAATAATTAATAGTGATATTGTCAAAGATTTATTGTTCACTAGAGACCAAAGAAATTCTTATAAGAACAACAGTTGAGAGGACAGCGTCGGTATATTGCGAAAAGTAATTAAATACTATTTCCTCAATTCACTAAAATTATTGATGTGTTTTCTCTCAATAAAATCTGAAAATCGTATTTTTGTGACTGTATTTGATACAAAAGTGGGTCTGCTTCATTTTAGTGCACTTACGGTGACTTTTTTTTATCAATGAATAAGGTCAAAAAATCCACAAAAACTTTCTTGATATTTCAGTTCCATCAAAAATATATATTTTGTAATAAACCGAAAAGATAAGGTTTTAAATGCTAAAAAGTTCAATTGAAAAGTGAGAATTTAGTCCTTTTGTCAAAAGCTATCTATTCAATTATCATAGAGAAGCATTTTATGGGTTCTAGAATACAGCTAGTCGTAGATTTTAGATAATTTTTTTTTTATTGATGCAGTATTACAACCATCTGTCACTTGGACAAAAAACAAAATAAAAAAAAAATTGAAATTTTATAAAGGTTATACGGAAGATGATTGGAAAAGGTGATAAGAATCTTTAGCCTTGTAATGATGTTTGTTTCTATTTAGAACTGTTTTCTTTAAATTAGCTTGGTAATTGAAGTTCTATTTTATCAAACGTAAAAAACTTCCATCACCCAAGAGATTAAATTACAGTTTGACTAAGAAGATTAACTTTTTTAATACCATCTTCGAGATCCTCACTCCAGCAGCTCATTAACATGAAGCAGATTTTAGTGATGGGAACATATTTATAAGAAGAAGCTGGGATGGATCGATAGTAACAGGTATGTTTATTCGGCTTGAAGAAGCCTGTGGCAATATTTGGTTTTTGGTCCACTAGTTGCCTAATCAGATAAACCGGATCGCCTATAGTCCGCGAGGTGATGTGGCAAAAGTTGCGTTGTTTGCTGCGATGTCACCCAGACACGGCACCATCAGGGGCGATTCATCAAGTCCCAGGTGTCCCTGGCAGGCTGAGGACTGCTTCGTCACCGGTAGCTAACTAAATTTATAATTCACCACTAATCGGGAGGTTCTTTAATTATAAATCTATCGATTAATATGATTAATAAGTAATACAAGAAACATTGCGGTAAGGTTCAATTGATTCAGTCCTAGATTTTAAGGGAATTAGTACAGGCGGCACAGCTGGAATAAATTTTAAATTTTAGTTCGTAATATTTAATTAAGGTAAGCGGTCTACCTCAGTGAACAAGGCACGAGATCCTATGCTAAAAGTTCGAGTCCGGCTGTGGCAGGTATTTATTTATTTTGTTTCATCAGCAGTGGATCAAACAACAGGACACATTCAGCCTCTATAAAGAGGGTGTACTCTTAATTGGGAAGGAGAAAAACCTAGCAGATGAATATATTATCAATATAATCGATACATGGACAATTACCTCGCAGCTCTTAACAAGTTGATATTAAGATCCTTCTTTATAAAGTAATACTTAATAAGTAGCCAAGAATATTATTTTACATTTTGTAGGTATGAGTATAGTACCACTAATGGCTTATTAAAAATTTGATTCTTTAATTTTTTTTCACAAGTTAATAAATACTAATTAATTTATGATACTTAAAATATCTATTGGGGCATTTTTGGAGCGAAAAATTACTAGAACGAAACGTCAAAAAGTATCTATTGATCTCTGGAATTCAGATTTCGTTACTTTTTCCGGCCTACCTCAGATATTCAATAAATATTATCTCTTCATTTCGTCATTCCCTTATTATTATTACTTTATTTTTTCATTTTATTATTCACTTATCACATAAATGGATGTGTTGTTTTATATGTATATATATGTATATGTATATACACTTGGATGGGTGACCGTCCATCAGAGAAAGCCACGCTGCCCGAGATTCAGCCACGCTCCCTCCTAGCTCCGAGTATTTGAGCCCCGTCACCCTACTGGAAGGAGCTCACACCGATCTGGAGTATGACTGATGAACCTACCCCTGTGTACTTAAATCAGCAATCGGGTTGTGGTCTAGGGGACCGAGAAAAAAAAATTTTGTACATATAATTTTATTTTTATCAGATATCTAGGCTTTGATTTTGTTTCAAACGCCCACAAAATACTTTCGTTTGTTTAATTAAAGAACCTCACGAATCTCAGAAACAAATAAAGAAATATAGAAGTTCTAGTAGCTCTGAATTCAAAGTTTAAATATTGAAATATAAATAGATTATTTGATCGTGACAATCAGCAAGTTGAGAGTTAAATTGTGAAGTTAGGCAAACAGGAAATGTCACCCACGTTGCTTGTACAAAAGTTTAATCCTAACATTAATAGGTTTTGTTAAAATCGCAGTAATGAAATTTTCATTGTTCATGGCGAAGTTTGTCATACCGCAGGGACGTCAAAGGAATATATTAACTTTGTTGCAAAACCATCGGTTAATTAGTTGTAGAGCAATTTGAATACATTTTTTAAACGCATCCTACATTTTTGAAAGCAGCTAACCTATTTTAATGTTTTCATTAAATATTTTTTGAAACGAAAAATAATGTTACTCAGAAGTATTTTTTAACAGTCCCACTTTAATAACATTTTATTCACAGCCGTATTATCAATTCAACTTATTTTTATTTTCGTTATTATAAACCATAATTTTATTATTTATAATATAAACATTTTGAACTAGCTTAGCTATAATTTATAACATAGGGATAATTTAATAATATAATTTTTATAATTTCCTAATGATTGAAGGTTTTAGTATTCGACAAATAAGGTATTGCGACAAGAACAATTTAGCCTAATGAATTTATTTTTATATCAAAATGGATATAAAAAGATAAAATAGGTTATGAAAATAATTAATGAGCGAATGTAATAAGGCTGTGATGGTTGCTTAGTTCGTTAATGGTTTAGACATTAGAAACGTTGGATGTAGAGTAAAAACGAAGTTGAGCTGAAACGTTGAATGTAGAGTAAAAATAAAGAAGGATTATCGTGTCTTTTTATTATTACAAATAAAGTAAAGTCCTAATCAACAATAATGAAGCATACGATGTGTTTTAGCTCTTAATGGCCAAACGCTAGAAGGTGATTCTAGACAAAATTTCTAAAAAAAATCATTCATACGAGCCTAATTAGAACAGAAAAGTCCAATTTCTTTTTTTCTTGAGGTGGTAACGTTTTCTTTTTCACAGGAAGCTATAAAAGAAAACTTATTTAAAGCAGGTTTTATTTTATTTTAATTTCAAATTTGACTCATTCCTTGGTCGTTTTCACAACTAATATAGTTAAGTTAACAAGATAATTTAAACAAAAAAAACAAAACAAAAAAAACGGTGCTTTAGACCACATGATAGAAGTAAAAACATAAAAAAAGTGACATTATTAATATGAAATATAAATTATAAATAATACCCTATTGTAAAGAGGATGAAATGCTGAACATTTCCCTCGCTTACAGTATGCAGGTCCGATTTTTAGTATCTGAAAAATTTTAATCCATATGTTCAACTAAACTCTTTATTATTTGGTTTTCGATACTATTTGTTCTTTTCCGTCTCCCTAACACGGCGTCACGTTAAGACACAATTTTGAATTATAGTTCATTATAAAGAGGATGAAGTGCGAAACTATTTCCTCGGTAAGAGTATGAAGGCTCTATTTTTAGTTCAGAGATATTTTAATAAATATGTAAAAACATTTCATTTAATCGAGACTCTATCTGAATTGACCTGAGTCAATCTAATTCATTCTCCACAAAAAAGTGTAAAACGTGCTTAAATAAATTTTCACTTCAATAATAGTGCACATTTCGTACTTTTTAATGATTTTTTAAATTTATTTGTTATTAATTTAATTTTAGTTTTTTTTTTATCGTGTTCTATTGAGAACACCGGAGATATGAAGCGATCCTCTATAGCTGCTTTCTAATCATAGTCATAAATCTGTCTTTATGTTTTTGAATATATCTTTCCTAGGTAGATTTATCGCTCGGGTTTCGTCAGGCGTTTTTTCTCCTCCGGCCATTAAAGACTCTTTCGACTATTGAGTGGTAATTGATATTGAAAAGTTATAAATCTCTTAAGACCTTTGAATAATGCACTCGCATCAGTTGTCGAAGGGATAATGAGGTGCTAATGAGTTACAAGTACATTACCTTGACCGTTTTGACCCTTCGTAATTTTTCATCAGGTACAACAGTTGATTAGTGTTATAATGGAAGATATTATGTAAAGATTTTTTTTTTTATACAGAGGCATATATTCTTTTTTTTTCAGCTCTCAGAAGCGGTTGATGGTGTCATACGCAGTGAAAGAAGAGAGGGAATTTTATAATTTCGGTTCTTAAATTTGTATCAGAATGTTCTTGAAGAATGTTAATCGACTGTTTAAATACAATCAGTTATATGAGTTCGTATCTATGATTATTTTTGAAAACAACTTCAGCCCAGGGTTGAAACGTTGGCAATAATAATATTCTTAAAAGCGTTCTGGCTATTTATCACCCATTTTACAATTTTAATAAAAATCAATACTCCAACGGTAATTAAAATATAAAATAATAATATTAATAAATGAGACGGTAAAAGTCGTGTTTTAAAGATCAAAACCCAGATATTATACCGTCCTAGACCAACGTTAATAATATTTTCCTCTTATATTAGTACTCACTATATCGCTGTTGGTAGTGTAAAAATTGACTACTTACAGCAATTGAAGACTTCAAATTGTCCCATTTTATCGCAAAGAGAATGAATATGAAAAATTGTTATAAACGACCTTTTGCAATAACAGTAGAGATATATCGTTTAGAATATTTTATTAAAATACATTTATTCAAGATATTTACAACTGTATTACAATATAAATACATCAAGTAAATGTGTAAACAGGAATATAATCACATGAAAACGTTTGTTGAGAAAATACTCACTGGTAGCGCACTAATAATATGTCTTAATTGGTAAATGGTTGACTGTCGCGGATAATGAAGAGAATAATAGTTGGGGTGGTCAGTAAAAAAAAAAAAGGCAAAAATAAATGATAATATTTGATAAATAAATAAATATTATCATTTATTTTTGCCTTCTTTTTTGACTGACCACTGCATCTATTATTCTCTTCATAATAATATGTCTATATAAGGAGATCACGAGGCCATCTTCCATTTAGATTTTTAAAAATGAAAACATGTAATTCTCTTTTATTGTTTAGAGTAAATTAAAAATGTATTGAAAAGGTGGACGTGGCGGAATAACTGTGAAATTCCTTAAGGATTTTGGAAATTTTGTTTATAAAAATAAAACATTTTCTGATATGTCCAATACCAATTTCTTGGTTTTGAACATGGTATTGAGGTGATGGGGTTTCTATCGCGGCTTCTTTATTCCGCTCTTTAAAATTGGTCAGGGAACCACGAATCGAGAATCCTAGTGGATAGGGGCTTAGTACTTTTAATGATTCGTTTTTTTTTTTTTTCTAGCCCCCAAAATGTTTATTTAATCAATTTACATATATACATAACAATAAAATATATAAAAGTAACAAATTCCTTCCACTGGGCATTTTAAGGATTGGGGATAGCTAATAAAAATAAAATAAGGGTAACATATAAGGGGAAATATGTGACAGAAGGCCTTGTGACTTTCATTGAACGGGGAGGGACCGTTCTGCTAATTATTTATTATTTACAATATATGTAAAGATTCGGTTAGGTTTAAGACAAAGTTATAATACCGCTATTTTTTATAGTCTACGGCAAACTAAAATTATATTAAAAATGTAAACAAGGAAAATATTCCAGACATCTATTTTGTACCAAGAAGGAAAGTTAGGTAGTTAAGGTAGATTTTATGAGATGTGAAAACATTTTGAGAAATATTATAATTTATTGAATGTTAACATTGCCATATTGGTAATGAAGTTAATAAATAAGAAAACCAAAAACCAAGGATGTTCTGCACCAGTAGGTCTCATTAAGTACAATAATTTATTAGTAAATATAACATTACGGATCTTCTTATTTCTTAACTGGAATTAAAGGATTAAGGAATGAACTGGGAGGGGGGATTAAGGTTTATAAATAATCTAATATTTAGCTAATTAATTATTTAATGACTACTTCAATATAGTCATTTTAAAGTACTTATCATCAACAGCTGTATGCATATTATCAATGTTAATAAAAAGTTATCGGAATAAACATGTTTCCACAATAATACTTAATTTGAAATGTATCAGGGAGGAGATTGATAGAGTATACTTGCATAGATATAATTGTTCAACTTTAACTTTATTTAAATGCCTGATTGTATAAAATTGTTTAGTATGTTATGAAATAACAAAAAAATATTTGAGTAAAAGACAAAACTTTAATTTAATTAAGAAACGTTTTTTCTTTAAGAAACAGTTTCTCGACAAAACTTGTTTGGAGAAGAAGTTATGAGCAGCCTCTAAAGCATAGGAAATAAAAAATGTCCGACTGGTGTAATATAAAGTTCAGAGAAATTTATTTGAAGCACTTTCGTAAAATATGTCTGCCCTTTCAGTGGTTGAATATAAGTTCACGTTTTCCGTTGAGTGCTCTAAAGATTTCCTAGGCGTATATTCTATCTACTGAATTGCATTGGTGGAGTTCGGGATGGCTAATTTATATATTAGTTTAGAATTAAAAAAATAAATTAAATAAAAAAATAAACATAAATATACCAATAACAAACTTTAATTGTATTTTTAAATACAATGTAATTTTATTCCATAATCAATAAAGACGTAATAATGATTTAAAAAAAATACAATTGAAGTCCAGTCTTGGATTTCGTTTTTTTGTGATATAGTTGATAAAATGATAAGGAAAGAGTGGATATTAATAACCAATTATAAGGAAATATTACAATTGTTTAATATTCAATAGACTATATCATAGATTTAATAGGGTTTGAAAGAATTTTAAACAAACCAGTTTGCTTGTGGGGGAACTCTCGCGTTATATATCTGTACTTCTCATTAATTCATTCGAAGTATAAGCAATGTTAAGGAAATATGTGTATTAATTTTAAGCAATATATTATCTGAGGGGCGCACAGTGGGACGAGTCGATGAAAACTCGCGAAATCTATTTAAATCTATTTTTATTTTTTTTTAAAACTCCTAGAAAACTAGAGAAACTGTTTATTGATACCTTGTGGAGTTCCCAAAAGTATTTTCAGTTGGCAGAATAAACATTTTTCACTGTTTTTATTGAACAGTTCAATTGAAAAAAAAAATAAAATATTAGATTTAGTCGATGTCGCGAGTTTCCCGTTTCCCGTCCCACTGTGGTGTGGGGTGGCCGAGCTGGTTAACGCGTCTGTGCACACGCGTTTCCCAGCAACCTGATAACCAAAGTTTAAGATCCAAAAATAATTACGAGTTCCAATCCCGGTGGGACTTTTAACTGGGCATAATTCCTCCGCCCTCACCCCCGTTCTGAGAAAAACACTGGTTAGCCTAAAAGGCAAGGAAGAGGAGAAAAAATACTTTATAATAACTATGGTTGAATATTATTTTACTCAATACGCAAAATATCTCTTTAGTTAAACTGTTAGGTTATAAAACCCAGCTGTAAATAAAGTTACACCAACCTAATATTTTACGCACTTGCTCCAAAATATTGCATTGCATTCCAAAACCAAGATACTCGATTTGTAATTCTCTCACTTTGAAAGAGTGGAATAAAGAAGCAAGGATAGAATCTTTATCATTGCAATACCCATTTAAACAAACATGAAATTAAAATATAGTCAGGAATTTTTTTTTTTTTAATTTGCGAGGTGCTTAAATACTTTCAAGGCTATGTTCATCCTTTCAATAGATTTTTAATTTACAACCATTATAGGATTTGGAATTCAATTTCGGGAGCTTTCCTTGTTTGTTTTCTTACTTTTTTTGTTAAACAGTAATTCGTCTGTAAACAAAATAAAGTTACTATAATCAAATTAAATTTAAGTTGTTCTCGTCTAAAAAGTGATGGCAACATTTAATGAAACGTTTTATACATAGACAATAAATTATGTAAATAACAATTATAATCTCGATTAATCTCCATTGGCTTTAGTTCCAGTAACGCGGTTGAGATCTCCTGCATTCTTGCTTTGTCTTCCATGTTGTGGGGACGAGCCCTTCTCAGTTAATAGTTTATATCTATTTGTATTTTTTTAAATTTATTTGTCTTTAAGTTACTTTATTTTAAAGTATTAAAGTTATTTTCCTGTTTGAATATTTTTTAGTTGTTATTTTGCTTATGTTTATTTTATATTTTCTGTAAATTTCATCTTAACTAATATGTTAGAGTGCTACCATTGGGTAGTTACTCAGCAAGTGTATTCATGTCATTATATCAATTATGTCTAGATTTACTTGATGTATTTATGTAATACAGTTGTAAATGTCATAAAGAAATAAAAAAAAAAACTAATATGTAACAGTGTGAATGTAATCTTACTTCACTACAACTATTGTACCTGTGACAGAATGTTATATTACTAAATAAATAAATAAAAACAAAAACAAACACTGTGTTAAAAATAAGTGTACAATAACGGCGTAATATGTTTTGTTTTTGGTACCTCAAGAGATACGCATATAACCCTTTTTTTTTAACAGCCTAAAATTTAAATATTAGATTCAATCCCTTCCCACTACATCTCGTACTTCCGACCTCTATCCACCTCCTCACCGAACTGCTGCGTTTGACAAATCCTTTATATTTCAAGCCATCTCCTTCTGGAATATCATCCCTACCGGTATCTGATATGCACATTTAAATCTCCTCTTTTTAAGCACCTGCTCCTTTCCCAAACCGATTGATTATGAAAAGTGGATAAGAGAACTTTTTAAGTTCCCTCATCCCCATAAATAATTTTGTTTACTTAACCTATTTTATTTTCCCATGTTTGTATAATACATATCTGTATTTTCTTAGTATTTTTGTTTTATTATTCTTCCAATATTTTAATTTTAATGAGAATTCTAAATATTTAATTTAATGTATGGCCACACAGGCATTTTTTCTGTATCTATAATTTGTCCTAAAGGGACAACAGTCCCAGGATAATAAAAACAAATTTTCATTTCATTTCATTTCCACAGTGTTCTGATTCATAGAGGGAAAATTCTTCGAAGTACATTGTGCTTTCATTGGCAGAAATGATGGGTAAGTTAATAAGAAAAATAAAAATAGTTTTTTTCGAAAACATATAGTCAACTGAGTGATAGATAAATATTCGCTTTTAAAGATGTTAAAATTCTATTACAGAATGACGCTAGCAATTACATAGGCAATAGTAACTCTTTGAGGAATTTTATGAGAGTTTAATAGCCGGCGGTGGATGATAAGCACGAACTGTCTTACGTTAAGGTTTAGAACTATCCTTTTTACGATTACACATGACAGGCGATATACCACAAAGCCAGCTGTGAAATCGTTGGCTGATTCGTAAATCTTGTCCCATACACAGTCCATTATGCGCAAATTGAAAACTCAAATAGCAAAAGTCCTTTACAAAAAAAAAAAAAAAAAAAAATGAAAATGGTGCATAACGGTTATTCAATATCTTCCTAAGCAATGAATTCACCATGTAACAGATATAATTAATGGGCCAAATTCAATTTCGACTGTTTGTTTATCTCCGTACGGTCTAGTAATACAATTATGTGATTGTTATTAGTATAAACACAATTAAATTCAAAACATATCTAACGTCAGAAAATTAAGAAATCGATAAATAAAACTATAGTTTATGTTTAAATAACACGCAACCTAGTAATATTCAATATAAACAAAACATTTTTCTCTTTTATTTTTTAAAGAGATAGTTGAATTTTATTAATGACTTACTGGCCACGATCGTTTGTTAGTTTTACCAAGATTTTACATATTTTTCAAGACTTTTTTAATTTGTTTAAGTTTTAAAGTCGCCCACTTCTTTATTACTTTTCTTAATGGCAGATTCTTTTTATATAACCAAGAAAAACAATAGATAGATCTATCGAGAAATTGTAATTTTAATCAGTGATGGAATTATTCAAAAACAAACTGGGCATTACTTGGGAAGAAAATATTAGGAGAATGGCAAAATTTGAACGAAATTTATAGAATGTTAGGTTCAGACGAAAAGTAAAAATAAAAACCTGGTACCCGCAACACACAACTTTCACTTTTCGCTCTACTTTGAATAGAAATTATTTTCTAGCAATGATGGGCTATTATAAAAATTTTGAAGCCCATTTTTAACCGAACTAAAGTATAAAGCTTACAACTAACAAATCATTGATACCATTACAATAACAAAAATCTTATTTATTATATCAAGGGTTGATTATGGATTGTACGATTATTAGTTACTAAACTGTTATTTTCCATTGCAAAGTTTACTAAAATGGAATTACAAGCTTTGCATTGCCTATCATAGATAGGTCAAAACTTGTCACACTAATTGTAAGTGAATACTGTTGGGTAACACAGAGAGAAAATTCATCTGATTATTCACTAATTTAATTTTCTAAAAAATTACATGAATAAACGGACCATAGATATTTAATTATTTAATATCAGATCTAGAGTAATTAAACTACAATAAATTTAAGGTTATAAACATATCCATGAAATATTTTATATTTTAATTCTCTCAAACAAGCACAATGAAATAGTATTTTAAACATCATAGTCTTGATTCGGTGGATTTCAAATACTTTTTTCAAACATAATTTTTTTTTCAAGTTTACATTTAGTAAGAAAATTTCAGTTAATTTTCTTGGAAACATGTTATTTACGTTAAATAATATTATTTTCAAAAATTATTATTTATATATTTTTCCTCTCTCTCCGTTACCTTCTACAACTTTATTTACTAGATATTATTTTTTTCTAGATTTTTTTCTAAAATTGTCCGCCTTCCAACGATATATTATACGTATATCTTCTGACTAGTATTTCCAGAGATTCATTTTCGGCCTGGATAAGCATTTTTCTTGTTTTTTCCTTTAATTAATTATCAAATTCTTTCAAAAGTTATATTTAGCCTTTTTTTATAACTCTTAACAATGAGAGATTTGGTTATATTGACTTAGGGAACCTCAAAACATGTATTACCATTGAAAACTCACATTCGAAAATTATCATGATCGCAATACTTTCCCTAACTCTATATTACATATATAATGTATTAATAATTGTATACGCTTCTGAATTTAATGCAATTTCCCTTTCCTATACTGTTAAATGTTAAAACTTTTAATTTAATATTTCAAAAATTCAATTGTACACTTACCAACAACAGACCCGCTAATTGTCATTGCTTATGACAGATGTGGGTGAATAAATAAAGTTAAAAAAAAATAAATATCGAAGGGGATTTTTTTCTGTTTAATGAGTACATATAGTTACAGTTACTTTATATTTTCTTGATTCTAATTATGAAAAACTATAATAAAAAAAGTAATGAACGTTGATAGAAAAATCATGCATCGTCGATTGATAATAAATATAACACTACTAAGCTATTTACTTAAGTTTTACATTAAAATGTCCATTACTTACTTATCAGTAGTATCAAGATTAACTAATAAACTCATGGTTACCTGGAACAAAAAAAAAAAAATGTTGGTTATAATTGTAACCTATAAATCATAATATTATTATATTATATTTTATTTTTCGAAATTTTTATTTTGGTTTGATATCTAAAAAAATACTGTAATTAGCAACATTTTCCTAAAGTATTTTTTGAATTTAAAAGGTAATTCAGAATGACCACCGAGGAAAGTGTGAGGCTTAAAATTGTGTTAACTATATTTTTGAACCCTCAATTTAATAACCAGTAAAAAAAATTATAAAACTTATAAATGTTGAGCATCATGTTCTTGGTGCTTTCAAATGGATTGATCCATCATTGTGTATTTGGATGTCACCATTTTAAAACGATAGGATAAATAAATATAATAGGGTTGTCGTCATCTTGATGCAGTGACTTATTAAAGTGAACACTTTCTTTAGGCAGCCTTAGAACTTAAAGTTGTGAATACTGATTGAAACTGAGCCATCACGCTTCGGCTATGTAACATTAATTTGTTAAAGCCGGCTCAAGTCGACTAATTTTTGGCATTTGCATTTAAATATCTAAGAAACTAAAAATTGGAGCTGCGCAATGTAAGTTAGGGAAATGGTTTAGCATTTCATATTCTTTGTAATGAATGATGAAATTCAAAATTTTTCTTTGACGTGTCATCGAGTCATAGAGTCGGAAAGGAAAAAAAGATAATAAGGACTGTTTTGAGCATTTTTATTATTAAGTATTATTGTTTCATTTTTTGAGTATGTTGCAGATCGCTGCTGTCAGTGCAAAAGGTGGTATGTAAAAATTGAGTGTTTTCTAATAAAAACCTGTTATTTCTTTATTATTTATTAGTATAATTCCATATTTTATTTCCCTTTGCTATTTTCCTGTTTAGCAGACTATTTGTATCAGTCTACAAAATGTCATCTTTAGTTCAAATAGAATAAACATCTAAAATTGTAACAAACGCCTTTTTGCACTAACATTAGCGAAATGATGATAAGTCGAACTGATGCTTACCAGGGTAATTTCTAAACAATTATAATTGTATATATTGTTACTCTGTGAATATAGAATGAGAAATAGTTTAAACACATTTATAATTGTATACATTGTAAATGTCATTACTTTATAAACATAGAACAAATATAAATATATTTGAGATTTATTAATACCGCCTTGTTTATGGTTTCACTTCAATTGTGTGGTCTTTAGTGTTGCCCAAAACCGGTCTTGGTCTTACACTTCGCAAGACCAAGACCAGGACCGGGAAAAAAATAATCGATTTTTGTAATAACAATGAATGCAAAATAGTCACTAATACACGAAAATTTTAGTTACTATGTGTTAATAATTGGTATAACCAATATACTTCTGTATTTAAATCCTCTAATTTTTCATTCGGGCTTAGTTAGGTTTCTCCTATCTAAAAAAATACAGTAATATCTCTATAGTAATATGCTAATAAGTAACAACAAGACTTGTGCAAGACCAAGACTGAGTTTGCAAGGCCAAGATTCGTCTCGGTCCCGCATTTGGCCAGTGTTGCCAAAACACACACCGTACTTTTTTTATTTAAAACGATAAATTTACAAAACTCTACTTAAAACTGTAGCTTCATCAAAAACGCACTTGACATTTTGCACTAAACCGACCGTAACAGTTTTAATTGGACATATAAGTGTATAAAATAATCGTTAAAATCCCTTCAGAGACTCTTTCATTGCATAATTATCCTTTTGTAAGATAAAATATTTCAAGGTTTGCAGGCGGCGGAGAATGCTCTGAATCGGTTACTGTGGGCGAGCCCAGAGGACAGCTGAAGACTGGAGACACGGGCCAGTGGTTGCCTTCACACTGATCGTCTGCTTCCAGGGCATTCACCACCATTCTCCAGCACCCCAAACCTTTGAAGGTCTTGGCAAGAGGTCATGGTCTAAAGAAATTCCACGAACTCTTAACAAACGTTTAAGAAAATGTCACTATAAGGGAAATTGGAGACTATTTTGGACGATGAATGTTCAATTCTTAATTTTTTTTTCTTTTTTGTAAATGGAAACAGATTCAACATATTTTAAGATAAAAATGTTTTTCCGAGGTGACATTAAATCATCGAAGCCCATCCAAACTCCCGGGAATCCGTAGTGCTTTGCAAAGGGTTATTTACTTAACTAATTACTTACACTAATTCACCGATGAATTTCGTCAATCGAGTGAATGCAGCATCGAAGTACAGATATTTATAATGCGTTTGGAAAGACCTGAAGGATACCAGCATGATGTTAGCACTCCTAGTAATCCAACGTACAGACCCTTTTTTTTTTTTTTTTTCAAATTATCAATATCCGTCTATATGACTTCATCTTAACGTAACCTATACTTCTTTCATTCAAAAATATCTCAGAAATGGGGTGTTTTCTCATTAAATTAATTAATTAAATGTTCATTAAAACTCATTAATACCCATTTCTTTTACTTCCGAATCATAAGATGATTTGATCATAAAATCGAGTAAAATGTAACCTACACAAACATTGGATCGTTTGGCCTACGTAACCTCATTATTTTGACATGTAGGGCGTGGAGGTCACCATAAAAGGTCCAATATTTTTGTAGACCACCTTTTGTGATCTAATTATCTTACAATGCAAATAGAAACTCCATGCGTTTTTAGAACCTCATCCAACAGACAAAATTTAGCGATACCCAGATTGAAAACGTTGCATTTCTGAGAATTTTCGTGAGTTTTTTAGGATACGATATGATGAAACCATTCACGAAGTTTTAGACGAGTGTAAATTATTTGATAAAAAGGAATCTGTACCGAGGACTATTAAATGTTGCAAAACACATAAAAAAATAATTGTAATGAAATAACAACCTATTGAACTTGTGTATTTAAATATAGATAGGAAGTAAAATGAGATTAAATATGTAAAGTAAATTAAATAACAAAAAATAACAACAATCAAGTTATAAAGAGCTTACATCCACCGGATGTCTTAACCGGTAAAGCTGACGGAACTGCAGAGCCATATGAGATTCTATCGCCAAAACCCATCCATGGTTTTCCATTTATGCATTCAAGAACGGTTTATTGGATTTCCGATGCCATAGATGTGCTCAGCGTTCACTTTAGGTACTTGTCCAAGATAATTCAATAACTTAAATACTTTGTGAATAGCAATATTGTGAAAAACAACAGTCTAGGAATCCCGGCATCAGACCTATATGAGATAATTATCTATAAGACTGGACAAGAAGAAAAAAAATACCATCTATACTAAAAAATACCTAACCTAAAAACGTACGTCATGGAATTTCTTCTTTCCTCTAAGATATGTTAGAACAGACTTCTTACCTAATTTAAAAATATACCTTCAAACAGAGTTCCAACAATCGTTTCAAGTTGCTCATATGGAAAGGGAGTCTATTAAGAAAAAAAAAAAGAAAAAAAGGGGGGGGGAATGAGGAGATTGAGAAAATGAAAACATGTATTTGTTTTTATCTAATTAAAATTTTACCGGGGTCCGCAGGAGGAAGATAAAACCTTATTAATAATAACCATGTGATAACCTTGTTACATTAATGTTAAGGTTTTATTATTATTTTTAATTTTTATTATATACTTCCAAAGGAAACCATGGTGGAAATAATAAACATTGAAAACAGGAGTAAATATATGTATTCATTAATAATTTTCGGTTGAACTAGTATCACGATAGGGTTAATGAGCCAAGTCTTTATGTTCCCAAGGGACATAAACCCTTAAAGGGATGTATATCAGAAGTTGTCCTCAATTGGATGACAGGTAGCCAGATAAAATTTTATGATGGCTTCTGTTGCGATCAAAGAAACCCTGATTTGGGGACCGTGATTAGGGGTAAAAAAGTAACCCGATAACTCTCAACGAGATAAGAGGAGAAATTGCAATAAATCGCGAGATCTCGCCGTCTGATTCTTATCGAAAATAAATCACATCTGATAACTTTTATTCTTTCTTTTAATGTACCATATAATACATTTTAGCGGTCCGCCAACACGATTTATGTTCTGTAAAATCTTATTGCCACTCTAAATTATTATTTCGAAAAAATAAAAATCATACATAACATTAGGGAAAATCTCATTTCTTAATTAAAACTAGCATTTTTTCTATCCTTGATGTTAGAGCGCACAAATAGGAAATTGATTTTTCTTAAGCTCCCAACATTTTCTACTAAATGAATTTTTTGTTTAGTCAGACGTTTCACGTTTTGAGAACTGAATGAAAAAAAAATCCATGTTTGCTCGCACAATTCAGTACATATTGATATGAATTATTATTTTTTATTGTTAATAATGAGGATTTTTACATAATAAAAAAACTCAAAAAGTGACAAAAAATGCAATAAAGTCTGTCAAACAGTAAATATTCATTTACACTAATGCGCCTACACAAAATTCTGAGCTAAAAAAAAATAAATTAAAACGGAAAAATTTGGTTAAAATAGTTGCGCTGTACAGTAGTGAGGCCAGATATGCCGAGGAGGCAGTGACATGAGCAATATGAACTTTGAAAATTTTTGATGACAACCTATTTTAACACAGATGTATCTTTAGCGAAAACCATATTTATATTAGTAATTTCGATTTTGGAAATATTTTTAACTAGGAACGAAGGTAAAAAGTATTTTTTTAAGTTAGTAAGCAATTTTTAAGATTAACTAAATTTACTTGCATTGTTTTTAATAAGAGAGAGTTGTAAGAGTTCTTGGAAGGAGGCCGAAGCGCCATCTACCTTAGGATAATAGCATCTTCTGGATGAATATAAGTAATCTGACTTCGGATAAGTTGGTTTTGTTTGTTATTAGAAAGAATCTTAAATATAAGAACATCCGTTTCAAAGTTAAGAAATGATTGGTATTAAATGAAATGAAATGAAATTAAAAAAAATGTTTTATTATTCATTCATAACGTATCTATTTTGTAGCCGACGTGTGTAGTGAATGTGAGAGATCTTTCCAAAGTTTAATAGAAGTATTTTATATGATTTGATTTAGTCTAATGAATGTAGGCTCATGATACATACATTCAATATAATATAATTATTTGATGATAAATAGACCACTGATTAGTAAAAAATTGAAGCTTTCGATTTATCTACATTAATTCTTATTTCTCAGTTAGGAAATTGAAATAAAATTTCAAGTAAAAAAAATTCTATGCTAACAAGAATAATTGATAATTAGACAGTATCAACAGTTTCAACTATTAAATAATCAAGCACAGGTTTGATTTTGACGGAAATAAGTTGTTCAAAACTTAAACCAAAATATTAAAGGAAACGTGTTAAAATAGAAAAGCATTGTAAGTTTTAATTCTTTGAGAACAAAGAAATATACAAATTTTCAAAACGACTGAAATATAATACTTTGTCGCTACCAAACAGCATTCGCGCATTAATAAGATTTTTCACGGTCATGGTTGGATAGGTGTGAATCATTTGGACGAAATCGATATCGAGCTAAGAAGTACAGGCGAATCTCACGTCAGATGTTTGGCTTCGATTACAGATAAACGGTTCCTCATAGCTTGAGCAACTTAAATGATAATACATATAATTGATCTTTCTCCAGCTGATTCCTGGAATTGCTATCTCGAATTCACAGAAGGACTGAGTCATAGCTCGTTTCCATGGAAAACATCTGGGCGTGATTTCACTGGATGAGCAGATGATTCCTGATGCCGATTCCTTACCATTTTTGTGGACACTCCGTAGAACCAATACGTGTTAAGAATTATTTGGAAAGAAAAGATAGTTCAGAGAAATTGAGGAATTTTATACTACAGCCGGTATCATATGTCCCTATGAACAATGCGCCTATATAAATAAAATATTACGAGAGTACAATATCTAAATAATAATTAACATAAAAAGAAAATATTTTAAAATTAAATTTCTCTCTCTCATTCATCGATATTATTTTTTATAATAATCATAACTTAAGGCACAACAACAGGAAATAAGATACGACAGGATTGGATACTAGTCTATTTAAAATTAAGAGTTATGGAAAAAAAAATTATATATAAGATTTTCCTATAAAAAAAGTGTCACTATAATTAATTTACTTAGCAGCTAATAACAACAAAAAATGTAATTGTGGATCATCTTCCTAAATTGAATTTCCAGAATCATATTTGCATATTCTGCATGATTAAAAATATTTACTTCGAGGTGTCTATTAGGAAGTTGCATAATTGATAAAAAAAAAGAAAATATGCAGATTACAATTATATTTTTAATTTTATAAATAATAATTCATAATTCTATCTTATGAAAAAAATATCATATTTGAATGGCTTACACAATCAAAATCTTATAATATTAATATTAATAAAATCTTTATGCAATGTTAAAATAGAGAGTGAGTAGGAGTCATCAGAATATTTATAGATAAATCGTAAAACTTTTATGTTGACATTTAATATCTCCTGTGGTAATAAAGCCCTGTTAGAATTTTATTGCCTAGAAATAAAGAAATCCATAGGTTTCCTAACCAATCCATTACAGGAGTACCTTGCACTAAAGTGTTAAATAAAGTATTAATTAGATTAATTACTTTATGTTAATGAAATGTTAGATTATAAGACTAACCCCCCTGCCTAATTAATAGAAATTACAAATTTCTTATAGACTAATTAAGGCAGAGAAATCCGAAATACGTGTAAATACTGTTTACACATATAGTCCGCGGTACAGGCCCCTTTTTATAAACTTATTAATATCCGCCTGAAACTTCGTAAATAGCTTCATTTTATCATACCCTACAAATACTTTATTTACGAAAATTCTCGGAATTGGAGCGTTTTCAATATGGTGATCGGCAAACTTCATCTATTTAATTAGGTACTAAAACTCTTAAATATCCATTTGTTTCCACTTAGATCGTAACGTAATTTGATCACAAAATCGATAGAAAAGGTGGCATACAAAAATATTGGTCCGTTTGGTCTTTATAACCTCTTTATTTTGACAATTTGGGAGTGGATGTAGGTCACACCAAACAGCTCACTATTTTTGATGGTCACTTTTTTTCTCGACTTTTTGC